CTGCTTTTTCCTGCCCGGCCCGCCCGCCTCGGCCCCCGCGTCCCCCTCCCGGGCGGCCCGGCCCGGCAGCAAGCCCTGAGCGGGCTCTGCCGGGCCAGCTCCGCACACGCGCTGCCGAGGCGTCTCCCCGACCCTGCCTTCCTCTCCGAAACGCAGGTATTTATTCTTCGTGCACGATTAGTAGAGCTGAAATGAGGCGGTCTGCCCTTCCGGAATACCTACGTATGTCGCTTTCCTTCCCGCTGTCTTCACACTCAAAACCAGAGGAGCTCACTGCAGTGCCAGGGTCATTTAAAGCAGCTTTGTGCTTTAAGAGTTTTAAAAAACAAAACAAAACAAAACAAGCATAGCACGTTATTTAATACAAGGACTCTTTGCTTTTTAACTTGTTTCCTTTTCTTGATACTTTTTTATGTGTAAAGATACAGCAATATATGCATAGATGATTTCCAGCACCTTTGAGGCACTCTCACCTCTATGTTCCGAGCCGGGAGGGAGAGCGTGGGGCTGAGGAGGAGGGACACACTTCGGTTCGCACGAACGTCTGATCCTTCTTCTGCTGGAAGAATAATAGCAAGTCACCAAGCATCAGGAAAACCACAGAAGGAGCTGCGTATTCATTTATGCTAGAGAAAAAAAAAATATTTTAAATGAACTGAGCAGATTTGGACTTCTGGTTCAAACAAAGAAACATTTCTTTAAGTGATGTGTCCCTTGTGTGCTATCCAAGAGGCTTTAACAGTGGAAGTGCTTGCGAAACGAGTGTTACATTAAAGTCGGGCTGAACTGAAGAATTTGTTTTTACTGCATCTTAAACTTCCTCCCATCATTTACTGCCGGGGTATGAATATGTATATCTGAGTCTGACCACTTGTCAAACATTTTGAATGCCTGTGTCACTAATTTTAAAAGTTGGCAGGTTTAGTGAAACAAAAGGAACAAAGTGTGCTGTGTACCAGCAATAAAACCCTGTGCGCTGAGAACCATCTATCAAGACCATAGACTGCTGGCCTAACCCAGATAAAGGCCACAAGCGTAGTATTTATGTTTGTTGGCTTTTTTTAATTTTTAACTAGTCTCTTATCTTTTTCACTCCAACCCTTTTTTTCTATTTTGATTTCTTTAAATATAACCCATACTAACGGATAGGAAAAGCAAATCAAACAGTTATATAAATGCAAAATATTTTTCATGGAAATTTAGGAGGTATATGTATAGAAACTACAAAATGTAGATATTGGAGAAAAGAAAATAGATTTCTAACGTGAAGATGTGATATTCTGTCCTTTTCTGTATTTTCATTTTGAAATGATGATGTGAATTAAACTTGTACCAGCTGTCCTGACTCTGAGTTACTGGTTTTTATAGTCCAATGTTAAATATTAATATAGTTTTGCATTTATTTCTCTGTGGTTTTAAAGCAAACATAGCCTCCAAGGAATGTTTTAAAATGTAAGGCTTTTAAAGGCCTAATGCAGCTTCTGAGAAAGTCAAAGGAAATCTTTTTGTTGACCAGGATGAGACTTGGATCAGGAGCTCAGTAAGGTCTGCATGGTATGCTTAGCTGTCCGTAGCTGGCTATTCTACAGGCAGCAGATGCATCCTGTCAGGCAGGCAGGAAACCCACATTCATAGTAATATCTAAGCAAATGTTTTGCAGTTCATAAGAATTTTGCTAATTAATTCACCACCTTTAAAGCAAGAGGTCTGAAAAAAATCATCATTTTGCTAGATACTTCAGATATTTGGGTATTTCTCTGTGATCCTCATGCAGGAACTGGGCGAGGGAGGAACGCTAATCCACAGGCATCAGCATGAATCTGAGCTGGTTTTGTTCTCCTGTGTTGCTGTGCTCGGACCATCTCTAGTGTCTGGATCGTTAATAAAAGTCTATCGTTTGTGTCCCCCTTTAGGCAGGGCCACTCTCTGCTCCGCTCTTGTGCGACCTGATGGCAGCTGTGCAGTGTCTCTATCAAATGTGCACAATTACCTGTCTCTCTCTTTGAATCCCAAATTGCTCCACCCTGCAAGAACTTAACCGTACGCTTTAATGTGTGCATGTGTGCAGTTGGCTTTTCTGTGGATAAGTAGCATCTCACTCGCTGGAGTGGCTTCATCTCACTTGCACCAAATAGAAGCCAGAGGCAAGTTCCGGTACTGCTCTTCCACACACAGCGAACCCTGAAAGTTTGAAAATACATGGGCCGTTTTCCTTTGGACTGTTGATGTCCTAAATGACTTATTTCGGTTGACATTCTGCTTTCTCTGAAAGATTGGTGCAGTTTTCATGATGTGGAGTGATTCTGGAGTAGATGAACTTGGTCATTCTGATCCAGAAAGACAATACCTTTGCTCTGCTCCCCTTTCAGGAAGGTTGTATCTGTGTCATAGCGCACTTAAAGAAATTGAGATGTTGGCAGATTTGTTTGCGTCTATTTATATTATGTTTTTTAAACTAAACCCACAAAAAGTTAAGAATTCAGGGGAAAATCAGGAGCATTATATGTTATCTAGACTGTAGGTGACATCCTTCATTCTCACTTTGAGTACACCAGATTGCTAGGAAAGCCTCACTTGGGCGTGTTTTGCTGGGTAATAGTCTTGCAAAGCACCACTTTGCTTTTTTTTTTTTTTCTTGGCTGAAGCCTTCCAGCTTATAGATAATGTGCCATCATTGATTTTGAATGAAAAACACTTCTTTTAATTGAAAAGCCCATATAGCTATTGCTCTGATTATTGTTGGTCTTAAAACTAGCATAAGAGAGATTAGTAATATATCAGGCAGAAAAGATAATGTTATGAATAGTTTAAGCCATTATTGTTTAACAGGTAGGTTTAAGGTGTTATTATCCCCTCAGCAGACCCATGGGGATAGATCGTTACAGCACTCCTCCTCTGCTCCAGTGCAAAATCAAACAATTTCTCTTAAATTACTGCTGAAATCATTGCATCCATGTCTGCAGTAATTATCTCACTTCTTCCAAATTAATTGATTGTAAAAGTAAGCATTAAATTCTTCTCAAAGGGGTTCATATTCCTGCTAATATTTTTGCTACTTGATTTCTGGGTTCGGTTTGGGGATTTTTGTCCGTTTTTACTATGGTATTTTGGGGGCTCCTTTAGATTAGAGCATAAAAAAGTCAAGGAAGCATGAACTTAGGCATGAGAAACAATCTTATTACCTTTTCAGGTAGTTAGTAACGTTAGTAAAACTCTGGGAGTTGGGCCTGACTATATGAGTCCAAAGAGCAAATGGATCTTCCAAACACATAAACAATTGCACACATTTATCTTGACCAGAAAAATGATAGGTTCAGCTCATATCTTGCTTGATGGCACTAGCAATACTGGTAATTTCTCCCTTGCTGTTCATTAAATATTGTCTTGAATTTCAAAGAATATAAAGGCTAAATCTGGTTTTCAGCTTCTGAAAACAATCTTGAGCAAGCAGGTTTACTGAAAAAAATGGAATTTGCCATGTGACTGCCAGGGTTTACAAATCTATACTGCAAACCCTTTAGCTAGCTCAACTGTTTCATATAGCATATAAGTGTATAAGGATGGTTCTGAGTAAAACTCTGTAGGATTGGTCTCTAAAACTATACCCTTGTTCGTGGCCCCTTGCTGAGAAAGCTCTTCCTGAAATTGCCTTGCGAGGAGAATGAG